GAGGAGCTCCAGCAGAAGGTGAGGGGCAGAGCCCGGTGGGGGCCCAGAAGCAGCTGCCTGTCTTGGAACTAGTGAGATATCCTCAAGTTCAAGTGGACCTCACATTAGAACCAACTTTTTTCAGATTCTGTGTGCCAAGTCTGAGAACTCCAAACTGATGGTGAACATTGACAATGCCAAGCTGGCCTCTGACGACTTCAGAACCAAGTATGTTGAGGCTTTTTTGGACTAGATGACCTCCAGGGCCCCACAGCTACTCCATGGCCCCATGAGCCTAATGTTCCCCAGAAGGGACGAGAAAGCCATCTCTTTCTTTTTATTTCTCCCCCTCAGTCTAGTTAAGTAAAGTCAGTTTCAAATAGAAATCCACACTGAAGGGCTGCCGGCCCTTCAGTAGATACAGGTTGGGTATCTCTTATCTGAAACGTTTGGGACCAGATATGTTTCAGATTTTGGATTTTAAAAAATGTTGGAATATTTGCAAGTACATAATGAGATATCTTGGGATTGGAACTCACATCTAAACACAACATTTATAGATGTTTTACACACACAAAAAATACACATAGCCCCAAGGTAATTTTATACACTATCTCTGGTGCACTACAGTTTTGACTGATTTTTCACAAGATCAGGTTTGGAATTTTCCACAGTGGTGGAATCAAGAGCCTTTTCTGGTCTATCCACGTGTAGCATGAAGGAGACATGGAAGAAAAGGGGCAGAGAGCTGTGTAGGTTCAAGAAGATCTTGGCCAATCCTATCCAAAAAAAGATGCCAGAGAGGAAGGCAGGCTTCTTGCCTGGCTTCTCCTCCCACTCTGATCTGTGTGCACAGGTACGAGACGGAGCGGTCCCTGCGGCAGCTGGTGGAGTCGGACATCAATAGCCTGCGCAGGATCCTGGATGAGCTGACCCTGTGCAAGTCTGACCTGGAGGCCCAGGTGGAGTCCCTGAAGGAGGAGCTGCTGTCCCTCAAGAGGAACCATGAGGAGGTATGAAAAAATTTTTTAAAAAGCCACCTTCAGAGCTTCAGAGCTGAGCCTTTCGTATTGGGAACCAGATGGTAGTAACCGTCAGACTCCCTGGCATGGAACCCATTCCTGAAGAACTCAAAGTTGGTTCATAAAAGGATGAAGCTGTATCCACATCACGAAGTGAAGAGAGCTGTGAATTCTCAGGCACCCAGGTGCAGGTTGGGCAGGTGTTGGAGATATTGAGGAATGGCATCCATTGATTGAAGTTGGTCATTGTTAGGGCTTGGATTTGGTGTGGTGGTGGGGAGAGAATAGGGGAAAAAAAAGAAAAGAAGAAGTCATGGCTTCTCTCTTTAAAGAGCTCACAGTCTAGAGCAGACAGACAGCCATGTTAATATAGTGGTGAAGGCAGAATGAAGCAAGTTCTCTATGAGAGGTACACAAGCATGCACAAGCCAGTATGCCAGAGAGGAGACAGAGAACTCTTCCCAGATGCAAGGAGGAGTGCAACGAAGGGGTGTTCTGACCTGAGAGAAGAGGCTGAGCAAAGACCCAGAAGTGGTGGAGAAGGGTACGTTGGGGTACGCTGGGCACACGGTGCCTACAGAGATGTGATGAGAAATGAAGGAGGACTTGCATATGCCAGGAAATTAGTCTCCCAGGAGGTGTGAATTCCTTTCAGTTTGTTGGGAAATGTTTTAGGATGATCCTAAATCCTTATTGCTACCCAGTGTCTACACCAATCTTTGGAATGATAGGGATATTCCTGTTAGTGCTTCGTTGGCAGGGCTGAACTCACTTCCCTAGAGCAGAAAGATAGCAGCTCTATTTCTGTGAGTTTAATCTTTCCTCTCCCTCCATCAGGAAGTCAACACCCTGCGCTGCCAG